CCTCGTATGAGTATAACTGTAGAAGGGACATAAACATAAGAGTATAAACTTGTTGGGAGCAGGGACAGCTGTATATGGTTCAATCTTCTCTGTATAGTGCCGTGGCATATCAGCTCCCTAAAACTCTAGAAAAAAAAAAAACAACCCACAAAAACTGTGCTTGATAGGCCAATAAGGAGCATACTTTCCCAAAGTGAATCATTATTTTAACCTTTTTTTAATGACAAAATGCAAATAAGCTTGCACATTCAGGGCTGTATGCTACATGTAAACAGGCAAGGACATTTACATTTTTTTCTCAAACATCCAACACTTAAAATTCTACCACAAATGAAGATTTAGAAGTAATGGAGGACAATTAACATTTTCCCCAATATTGAAAGAAAAAAAAAAAAACAACAACATTGAAAAAAGTGCAAAGCAGAAGTATTTACAAAGAAATGGACAAATTCATAAAAGGTTTCTTTCCGTCACACTTTCAGCTTCAAATGTCTCTTTAAAAAGTTGTAGTCGTAATCACAAACATGTTTATCTAAAATCCATTTGTGTAGAAGCTCTCAATCTTAAGACATTTCAGTTAACACAAGCAAAACATGAAACATATGAAATAAAAAGGAAATAAGACAATATGTAAAAAATATTCATTGCTTTTATGTATTTTATATATATCATTAATCTATGGAATGGTTTTGATGGAATAATTACACCCGTAGTGTAATTGAGATCACGTGTAAACTCAAACATCATTGTGCGTTACACACATTGGAAATAAGTGGCGTCATATGGTCACATTTAACACTTTGCAACCTATACCCTCAAAATAAATAGTTTGTTTTTGACACCCTATATAAAAATATACCTTTTTAATAAATAGTTTATATTTTTCAGTAAATAACTGTATAGTCCATCAGAAACTCTTAGTGGATTGCACAGACTATTATCATGGAAAGTTAGCCTACCTAATTTGGTTAGATGTGTTTGTTCTAAAACACTAAATGACAGAAAAAAATTTATAAGAGAACACAATAAAAAGTATCAGCCACAGTAAAAAAAATTTTGTGGCATCAAGAAATGGCAAATGTACAGTGGTAAAAAATATGAAATTAAATAAGAAATGCGCTGTAATTTAGAGTCTAAAATAGAAATGAGTTTAGCAAATATACGCATATTATGGGTATATTGGAAAATAAGCCTGTTGTAGATTAAAAAATTGTTTTAAACAGATCTGAAATATGGATTCTTAGAAAACGGATAAAAAGAGAAATGTGGAACAGTTGTGCCATGTAAAGGAAAACAAAACTGAATTTTATGTGGTTAAAATATTGAGAACATACATGTCTTTAATGTCAAGGAATGTTCATATTTTGCATAAAGGAAAGTTTTTATGTACAGCACATGCACCAGAGATTTTGGCAGGAAATACTGGGGAAAATAGCAGCACTGCCTTAATGATCAGAAGTCCTTGTAACAAGAGAAATATTACAATTCTGTAGGTGTTTTTCCGGGCTCTCTTATGTAGAAACCTTTCATTGTAGGCTTCTCTGATGTTCTTTGCGATACTGGCTGAAAGTTCAATACTTCTACTTTCTGTGTTTTTGTTCTGAACACTGACAACAATTTAACGAATTATAAAGATTTATCTAGAAGAGATTTATCACGCTTCCAGTGTACATTTTGCATTGTAAGCTGTTAGTGGATGGACTTGCACAGTGTAATGAGTGTTAACGTTCAAGGTCTCAAGAAGACAAATAGGGGCTTAGTTTGTATTCTTCAATCCTCACTGGAGAGAAGTAACCATTCTCCATGTATTTGTAGGAAGTTAGCTTTGGTAACTGAAACTCCAACTTCTGGAAAACAAGAATCAAAACATATCAAAAAATATTAACATTTTTGTCTTTATTGTTTCATAAAAATTAGTTCAAAGCAGGAGTTTTTGCTAGCAACTAGTGCAAGTCCTAATAAATATTAATATGACAATACAGAGCAAGCAGTTAAGATGAACATTGAATTTCACAGTGTTGCCTTCCTGAGCTGCACACATAAAGACTCACAAGAAAGCAGTTTCAAAGTCATTCAGAGGCTGATCCTTTCCTTTTCTACATTCACATACTCCCTAAAGCACTCACAAACTCACCAATGAAACAGACTTGCTTAAGCAACTAAAGGGTAGTTAGTCTTATTGGGCTTGCATTGTACTGATCTTGAACATCCCTAAAAGCAATCCTTTTACACATGCGATATATACTGACATTGGAAAAAATGCAGAATATGGAGAAGATTACACATCACCACCGGTAATCTATGATGCTCTGGTGGTCAGAGCCAGTTGGAAAAGGTTTAAAATGCAATTTATTCACGGTTAGTCAAAATAACCGTAAAGGGTATTTTTACACGATAGCTATATGGCAAAGAGGGACACAGTCAAGATTGGGTCCAATAAACTCTTGAATCAAGATCATCCTCAAACATTTTTCTGCTAAGGATAAAATGCTATGAAAATAGAATGTCTAAAGGATTTACAGACAGGACATTTGTTTTTTTTTAACAAAGAAACATGGGGCAGTTAGAACTCTGCTTTGACTTTTCATAGGAGACATAGGAGGCTGCCATTGCTTAAGTCCTTGTAGAAATGCAAGTTGTCTGGCTGTGTCTGGCTTCTATACATTTGGGTCACGAATTAGAACAACCATGCAGCTAACATAAGCCATAATTTCAGGTACCAGCCTTGGAGCTTGCACCTTGAAAAAATAGTAAGCAATGACTATACTGTACTGTAAATTAAGAAATCATCAACCACTGAAATACTTTTTTTTGCAGATCTGATCTCCCTCTGAGGCTAGTTATATTACAACATGATATAGCGCTGCTATTAACATCTGAACACACTTGAACTGGTCTTTTAGTTAGCAGCTCTGCCTAAATTAAAATGCTCTGTTTTCCTGTACCTTTAATGCACTTTTTTCTTTTGTATATGTTTAGGAGGAAGCTATTTAGCACTAGGTTTTCAGTATTTTTTTTAATGTTCAAAAATAAATGACCTCCCCAAAAATGTGGCCCTTATAGTATTAAGGAATTGGCGCCTTATATTTGTTAAAAGAATCTGGGTGCAGAAAGAGCTGGAGTTCCGATCCAACCTGGAGTCTGTGACATAAAAGCTTCCCAATGGCATAGGTGACCGGGCATGTTCTATTAAAAGGAATGCTACTTTTACAATCTAGATTCAAGGCATGTTAAAAAAAATTCTGTTAAGTTTGTGGCTTAACTTTTGCTATACACATACACACAACATCAAGGTTTTTACAAGAAACAAAACCAAACACAAAGATAAAAAAATATTTGCCAAGACAACGTTTAAAGCTGGAGATGGAGAGGACTTCTTGGCATTCACTGCACATGCCTCAGTACGCAACAGTGCTTAGTGAAGCGCTTTCTTCATGTTTGCTGTGGCCAGTGGCAGCTACTGCAGGCACATTGATGTTCCTGGCATTCCCACTGAATGAATGTTTGAAAGCCAAGTAGAGCATAATCCAAAGTTATGCGGCTGCATTTCTGCATGGAAGCCCATGTCAATTCGGCCTAAATCCAAAACTCTGTCACATACAAGACGTAATACTTCAGGGGCTGCTGTGTATGTGGGCAGGATTTGATTCCGACTCGCATTTTATGCATTTATTTTTCTATACAAGCGAACCATTCCCGACACATTGCAAATGCCCCAAAAAATAAATCTAAAATGCAAGGCACCATTCTCCCTGGAAAACTTCCCAAGTCTGTCATGCTTTTAACTCTTATGGCAATCTACACTAACCCCAGGACTCTATATATCTATCAGGAATTGTAGAGCTTTGAAAGTTCTCTGTGTATCCCAAAACATTTCATCTTAGATGCCTGTATGTTTGACATGTATCTATACAATAGTAGAATTCAACTCTCAAACTTTTCTTCAGTAATGAATTCAGATTAAACAAATACACGTTGCCCAGCAAAGCATTTTGCCTAAGCACCAACAGTCATCATGTTTCCAAACAGCTCCACCTCTCTCAGCTCCAATTCCCTGAACTTCCGGTACAGTACAAAATTACAAGGGATAAACTAGTCTGCAGCAACTGTCCATCTTCTAGCTTGGAGTAGGGAGGATAAAGGAAGGGATGTGGCTTGCCTTTGTGTGTCTGTGCTTACTTATGGCGTTTCCATAGGACCCTGCAAGGGAAAGGAGCAACCCTAAAAGAGAATATAAAGGCCAGTGCTCAGGGGACCAGCTGATTCTGCAGGATAAATATCAAGGAACAACATCCAATGTAAGCTATTTAATGAGCATTTAAAATAGTTTAGAAACCTTTTTACTTTAATATCAGTTTAAGGCTTGATTTACACTAAATGCGTTGGTGCCGTGCTGGCCGTTTTATCCATTGCAACCCTAATGCAAGACGAGGCAAGTTACCTTGTCATGGACAGCCACAGTTCACAGTTGGTGTGCACTGGGGAAAAAAAAAAAAAGTACTGCACGCAGTATTCTTTTTCTGGAGCAGTGGGTCATGATGCTGTACAACCGCATCGCACCACACTGTGCCCATAGAACTTAAAGGGAACTATGGGTAAGTGCTTTTCTCCATAGTCTTCTTTAGGGTCACGGCAGGACATATATTAACCTCCTCCTGTGACCCCAAAGCTCAGTATAATCGGGGGCTGAGAGCACCGCAGTCGGGACAGATCCCTACAATACTGTTGTGATCCACTCAACTGCGTGAGTGACAGCTGGCTCTGCCCATCTAGAGGCAGAGCCAGCTGTGCCCGCCACCTCCTCCTTTAGAAACACCTCTCTGAATCTGATTATTTTGACATGCGGTTTCACTGAAGGCAATCTGTGATTTGATATTTGTTTTCCATTATAGGCTCAGTTTGTAACAGGCTTATTTTAGAGTAAATGCAAATTTATATTTGAAACTTTTTAAAAAAAACTTTTGGATAGAGCGGGGGAAGATTTGAACTTCTGTCAAGGTTTTTTAGGGCTGTCTGTGATCACGCTAGGTAGATTCATCCTCTATATTTGTTCTGGTGACAGAAAGCGGTCGGAAAATTTACAGCTGTTCACAAAACAAGTTTGGGACATGTGTTCCTGTGACAACTGTCCAAGAGGGGAAATACCCTTCAATTTATACAGCTTTCCTCTTCTTTACTGTTGTTTTTCTGGGATAGACAGCAAAAATAAAAAGATGGGTTTTAATCTTTTACTACTCTATCCAAAACTAAAACAAAAAGTTAAGTCCATACAAGTCATGTAAAACACCACATAATGGAAGAGCTGGCTATTAAGCTTTTCATTTTTCGTTTCTTACAGATGGCAACCTGATGGTATGGAGCTAACTTTCAGCAACACATTTCTGTATATAACAAAAATATTTAAACAGCTTCTATCGCAGGCTGACTGGGTCCTCGTTGTTGTCCCTGCAGAGTTTGATGCAATTCTCAATCGAATAGTTTGCGTAGTGGAATAGTGTGTCGGGTGCTTATAGTTCACCCTCTTTGGGTCTGTCCTCATAGAACTGTATAACTAGCAGATTAGGGTGAATGCTTTTTATAACCTTCAGTGCTGATGTCCAGTGGTTGAATTGTTACTTTCAGAATCTCTGCCCCCAGGACCAGCACGTCTTAAGTGGCTTTGTCATCTGACCCTTGCAAGTGTTACACTAAGGCTAGCCACGGGGCATCAGAAGACAGCTTCCCTCTAAGATAATGGGAAGCATGAATCTAGCCTTGCTCACATACCCGTCCAAAAATGGGGAGCTCTGATCTGCTGAAAGTAACCAATTTTAGTGGTTACAGGATCTGGTCCCCCCATAATATGGTTTGAGGGTGGTGCAGCAAAGGGAAGGGCTAGTGGTAAGGTATGGGATGCAGCAAGCAGTTTAACACAGGAGCTGGTCATTATCCGCATATCATATTGCACATGTTCTCTGGTTTCTGGGGATGTTCTGCATGAAATTGAAGTTGAGGTGCCTAACAAGTGTTTTTTTTTTTTTTCATGACCTAAATTTGTCCACAGATGTATAAAACAATAGATATCTGCATCCGAAGGTTTGAACGGTGACTAAGAGTTGCTAGCTTTCCCACCTAATCAATTGTTTTAAAATGTGCAATCATATTTCAGAGCCAATTCAACACAAGCAACAGATAGGGACGGGGGCAAAACTGTGTTGTAGGTCAGGTCATTCAGTAAGGATGCCCCCAAGTTCTCCTTCATGCAAAAATAATGGTACTTTACTACCAAACAACCACAAACATTTACAACAAAAGAAGCATGAACACAGATGCCCACATTGGTCAATGGGTCTTTTCACACCTTTAGTGTTAGAGTTCTTTATCCCCAAACTCCTGCACGCAGCAGTTTGGGTATTGTTTAGATGGGTGCATGGCTTCTCACATTGAAATTGCATTTCTAACATCATGGTTACGTTCGAACTTGCAAAGCAGAAATCGGAAAAAGCTCTTTATGCAGGCATTTACCATGTTTAAAAGGATTCCTCCATAGACCGGCCAGGTGTCGCATCCTTGTACTCAAGTAGAGTTGAAATCTAGCAAACCGCTATTAAGATACACCGCAGAAAAGCACAAACAGCTAAAGCACCACTAAAGAATGTACTCCACCTACCAGCAAGATTAGGGAGTTAATGTCCACTGCTATAATAGTTCTGTCTGGTTAAATGAAAAAAAATCTACAGTCAATGAAAGCCTGGAAGTTTCTCACCAGTCCTGTAGTTTGCTAAAACTCAATGGCTGTGCTTAGCAAATAATTTCTCAACCAAAAAAACAAGACTGTACTGGTAGATGGAGTTTTTGTTTTAATTAT